ACACCATGCTAGTGTGCACTAGTGCCATGGTCAGCGAGGATAACAAGCGCAAGGCCTTCCAGCGCGCCGCAGCCGCCACCCACAGCCCTTCCTTGAACGCCCGATCTGCTAGTGAGGACGATGATGAGGAGAACAAGCCGCAAAACGGAGGCGAAGTTCGCATTTGCAACGGCTGCATCACGCGAGAGAGAAAGCGGGCGGCTAGAAAGAAGATTAAGAAGGTGGAAGAAGAAGAGATGTGGAATCGGGATGAGAACCGGCGCGTGATCGTCTTCAACACCCAGGAAATCAAGGAGTGGCAGACGCCCAACGGCGTCGTATCTGACTCTACCGTAACAGGGCGACCAGAACCGGTAGCTCCTCCTGGAGCGATGCAAGTGGACGCGCCCATGCGCATTGCCTGTTACTGCCGCCACCATGCAGAGAAGCAGGGTTTCCAAGTCATCTTCACCATCAAGGATTGGCAAGACCGCGTTGTCGCCCAAGAAATATCTCAGTCGATCATGATCACCGACGATCACAAGACGCACCCGTTGCCGTCATTGCCTCCCGCTGCCTCGACCTCCGAGAACAACCTCGTGCCGATGATGAACACGCCGCTGGATACCAGCCCACTCAGCTCGGGGGCTGCTCCGTTCCGTCTGTCGCATTCCAGCTCCGATCTTCAAAGCTTGCAGCGTAACGCACCTCCGGCCCCGGCTCCGTCGTTCCCCGCTGCGAACGCCGTGGCTAAGCAGCCAGCCCCCGCACCCTCGACAACGAATGCTCGTTCTTTGTCTCGGCCCCCGTCCCCGAGTTTACACGCCGGGCCGATGACAAAGAAGCGCAAGGCCAGCGGATCGAGGGTTCCTGCTCATATGACGATGACTCGCTTGGATACGACCCCGCCACCATCTCAAATGCCTGTCAATCCAGTGCCACCGGCAGCCTCTGCTTCCACATCGCCGTTCACGCCTAATCTCACCAACTTCCAGACTCCCCCTGATACTGTGTTCCAAAATGGAGCTCCGTCGAACATCCCACAGCCGTTCGCTACCGGTCCACCGACACCCAACAGTAACGACCAGACCTTGTTCACCAACGCCAACCGATCTGCCAGCATGGAAAATATGGCGATGCCCATGTTCTCAGCCCCTGCATCAGCCCACCAAAGTCGCGCTGCAAGCCCGAGTAGACTGGCAAACGGTGTGAACGCTGTACAACAAGGTCAATTCAATACCATGCAATATCTTCCCACTGCGGTTGCTCCAGCACGGCCTCAGCCAACCATTCACAAAATCATTCCCAACGAAGGACCTAAGTGCGGTGGCATCGAGGTGACCATTCTTGGCGCAAGCTTCTACCAGGGCTTGGAGGTACTTTTCGGAGACCAGAAGGCCACAACCACCACCTTCTGGGGCGAGTCCTCCTTGGTGTGCCTCTTGCCACCGGCCCCCGTCGCCGGGCCAGTCGTGGTCACTTTCAAACAAAGCCAAGCTCAAGCCGGACAACCCTTCAGTGCCCTCTCCAAGCAGAATCAAGTATTCAAGTATATTGATGACGACGAGGAGAAGCTCATTCGCACCGCGCTCTCGATTCTTGGCCACAAGATGTCTGGTCAGTTGGTTGACGTCAAGGAGCTTGCTCAACGCATCATTGGTCAAGGAGATTCCAGTTGGGGCGGCCCTGGCCCCTCGGGCAACGGTGGGTTTGGCGGAAACACTTTCAACATGAGCACGGAATCCCAGCTGTTGAAGTTGCTTGAGTTGATCGACCTTGACGACAACCCGAGGATGTCTCGCCTGGATCTTAGGAGAAACACAGGCCACACCATGCTGCATATGGGTTGCGCTCTGGGATATCATCGTTTCGTTGCTGGGTTGCTTGCGCGTGGTTCTAACCCGGACCTCCGAGACAAGGGCGGCTTTACTCCCATGCATCTGGCGGCGATGAACGACAACGAATCCATCGTTCGCAAGCTCATGCAGGCTGGCGCTGACCCTACGATCCGTAGTCTTTCGGGGCTGCGGCCGGCTGACGTTGCTCAATCACGCAAGGTGGTGGAGCACATCCGTCGCTGCGAGCGTCACATCCGGTCCCGCAGCGGAGGTTCTCTTCACAGCAGAGCCAGTAGTGCCGCTTCGCTGCGGTCTCTGTGGGACCCTCTCGGCATGTCCAGCGAGGAAGAATCTGCAGACGACGGTGAGGAGAGCCCCGAATACTCATCTGGCGACTACGAGGACGAAGAAGAGGAGGAGGACTCATGGCTCGACATGCGCCGTCGTTCCAGTGGGCATGCGTTCACCCCTCGTCCAGACCGACAAGCACTGCAACGAGGTCACGATGAGGTTGAGCCAGGTCTCGCATCACCGACCACCGCCATAGCCTCGGCCGTGAGGGATCAGTTTGCTGCTCAGATTCAGCAGTTCCAGCAAGCGATGGCACATTTCCCCAACCTGCCTCAAATGCCGGCATTGCCAAGAATGCCCATGTTACCGGACTACCAGGCGTATCTTCAGCAAAACCCGTTCATGGGTAGAGTTACTTCGCTGATGCCTGGTATGTCAACCTCTAGACCAGGATCGTCAGGCGACGAAAACCCGCGACAAATGGACGGGCGTTGGTGGGATCTGTCAGCCTTCAGAACCACCAACAACAACTCAGCTCCGCCACCGGCATATGACGAGATCTTCCCTCAGGAGGAGCTTGACCGCAAGCAAGCCGCGGCTTTGAATTCTGCTGCTGAGGCTGTTGCGGACAGATCCATCGCTGTCGGAACCCAAATCACTGAGACCGTCGAGATATCGGAGGCTTCATCAAGCGCGACGCCAGTGCCGAGTGTGCTCAAGATCGGCCGCAAGAGTGCCATCACCAAAGAGCAGCAACAAAACTTCCTCAGGGCGCGCGAGGCCAAGTTCAAGGGGATGCGCAGCGACAAGAACTTGTGGTTCGTCTGGGTAAGTAAACCGACTCAACAGTGTCATCCAACACACGCTAACGTCCTTCAGATCCCGCTCCTCACCTGCATACTGGGTGTGATGCTGTACAGCCGATTCCCTCAGTACTTCGCCATGCTTTGGGCCGTCATCCTTCGTTCGGCTGCAAAGTTTGACCAGGTGCCCGACATGGTCAGAAATGTCCAGGACCGCATCGTCGAGGTACTTTAAATCATTTTATTACATTGCAACCGCTTCGCTTTTACGAGAGACACAACAGAGTTCCTCCTTTATTCGCGCTTTCGGATCTTCGAGATAGGGAGAACAGGAGTTGGTGCGTCTGGGGAACGAGGAGCAATGTTCATTCAATTACTCTATTGAGCATTGGAGGGGGGGACTTGGTGCGGCCGGGAGTGCCGCACCGTTCGTTCAATGCAGGCGGGAGGTCTCGGATATCGACATCGCACAGCCAACAGCGCGGCTTCTAGGGCAAAAAGCCAGTTTTCTTATCGTTTTCACGGAACCAGTAAGCCTCCTCACTGGGAACATTAGCTTCCATTTTTTCTTGATTTTTCTTTTTTGAGCTCCTCTTCATTCATTGGAGTATCGCGTGGGAAAGCCTCGGTCGACCGTTTTGCTGGGACGGAGAAGTAGATATCCAAGGAGGTCTTGATGACCTTGGGTGGATACGGGCTGTATGTAGTATATACACAGCGAAGTTACTGACGAGCTGCGTTGTCTTATATAGAGGGCGTAAATGTATGTCGGTATAGGCCGTGGAATAATGTCACACTGGTACATTCAAAGAAATCGTTTCGTTGCCGTGATCAAACATGCAGGTTTGCTCTGTAAATGAAATGTAGTCATTGCACACACATCCAGACCGGCTATCCAGAATCCTTCAACGACAGGGGGCTTGGATATGGACGTTTACTGGCCTTGGGGGAAATGCTCACTCCCGGTAGAAGGGTTAATTGGTCGTGTGTCGTCTTGTGCCGTGAATCGTCCGTCTCGCCCGCGATGCCGAACACGCCTCAAGAGCCTGCAAAGCATATTCATCTACGCCACTCAACAGGAACCGAACTGCTTCATCCTCTCACTATCACGTCAAAGCCTGAGTGAAACATCAATGTCGTCGACGGGGTCAAGTTCATATATGTTCAGCCACGCCATCCCATACCACCCCATACCTCATGACTAGACGTGCCACAAACAGAAGGTCTCCCACATCTCTCTTCTCTACCTCGCGCGCCGTAGCATCTTCCACCTCCTCACAAACACCAACACGTTCCAAAAACGAAGACGGCACACATGCACAAAACTCGAATAGTGATTTTCCATAACCCCATACACACACACACACACAACCCCGACATATTCCCCGTCCCATTTCGACACATGCCAGGTCATGTACAGCGAGCGCATCGTTACGGAGGGGGATGAGTAAAAAGACATTCGAAACCCCGTCAACCCCCTCCTTCCATACCCTCTCTCTCACTCCACTCCTCTCGGCGTAGGTGGGAAACTGGTGTGAAGGAAAAAGAGGGTGCCGAGACCGCGGGATGTCGCTACATACACGAAGAGAGGAAGAGCCGTTCGTTCCTCCGAAAACATAAAAACCTCGAGGAGGGGGGCGGGCCCCAGTTACGGGATGCCTCCTCCTATCCCTCCCCCTTTTTCTTTTTTTTCCCTTTTCTCACACCACCGATCGTTCCTTTCCGAGTTTCATCCTGCCTCCAATCCGTCTTGTCTCGTTTGGGATACCAACGTCTTCCTCATCATCATTGCGTCCACCGAGGGTTTTCCCGCAAGGTCATGGAAACACACAAGATTGATAAGGAGTGTCTTCTCCCGATCCGAGTGACAGCATGGCAAAACAATGCGTCGTACTGCGCGGTCGAATGCTGATTTCATAAAAAAGCAAAAGAAAGAATAGAGAGTGGTCATTTCATGTCGTCAAAGTCGTAAAGCTCGTCGAGATTCAAAGAACGCCAGACGCCACTTCCCACATCCAAATCCGCCACATATGTAATGGGCCCGTCCACCGGTGCAAAAAGGCAGCAAACACTTCGCTTGCCTCTTGACTTAGGTGAACCGCATGCCTCTCCAGCGACCGGGAAGCTCGCGCTCCTGCACAGGGATGCTGTGGTGGTTCTCCCCCTCAAAGCCGAACCCGCCGTGGCTCTTGTACTGCTCAGGTACGCACGGCACGGAGGGGACGCTGTGGTTCGAGTTGGGTCGGAGGCCGAGAGGCTCTGCCGCTCTGCGGATGCCGCGCGACGTCCACGCCCGCGCGGACTCGACAAAAGACCGCCGCGAGTCATTGGAGTCGATGCTGCTACGGGTGCTGGCGGCGTAGAGCGGGTTCGGGGGTGCAAAGTCCGTGTCCATGGGGCCGGAGTACGAGGCCGACGGGGCATGTTTGGCGAGCTTGTTGCTTGCGCGGGCCGAGTTGCTGAATGATCGTCTGACGAAGACTCCACTGCGAGGGGGCGGCGGGGGCATGTAATTCGGCGGGGGAGGAGGGGCTGCGTAGTTGGGCGGCGGGGGAGGGGCCATCGATTCGGAGTGCGAATGCATGTGAGAGCGCGGTTTCCGTAGACCGGGGAGTGAGAGGTCGACAGAGATGCGTGAGGCAGACTTGCGCAGCTTCTTGACGGCAGACATCTCCTCTTCGTCTTCGAACCCGAAACCGCGCTTGCGGTTGCCGTCGCGAGAGTCTGGCAGGGGTTCCACCTCATCCTGCGTTGGAGGCAGGGGCCACTGTCCCGACATGCGCTCCGCAAACGATTTCTTGTCAACAGGGGGTTTGGTTGAGTACATGGTGCTTGACGGAGCGATGTTTGGTGGAGGAGGCTGACGCGTGGAGCGGATGGCGTGCGCGTCGAAGAAACCGTCCTTCATCAGCTGCTGGTAGCTGGCCATGATCTCCTCCCTAGAAGGCATGCCCGCACCGTTGGCTAGGGTCGGCGCCGGGACAGCGTTCGCACTGCCGAACCCTCCAGCTCCGCCTCCCGTGGCGAGAAGCTTGCCGTCCAGGCTGAGCGGGCGCTTAGCCCCCCTATCCTTATCCCTGACAAAGCTCAGCTTCTCGCGGAGACCGCCCCAGAACCCCTTCTTTGCGACGTGGCTGCTAGCCGAACTGGCGGGCCTCTTAACCTCGCCATACGTGACCGTCGGCTGGTTCACGGAGGGGTGTTGTTGTTGCTGGTGGTGGTTTTGCGACGACAACAGCGACTGGGAAGACTTGTGGTGTTGAGGCTTGGGCGGGGACAGGACGCCGGCGTCGGGGGCCTCGACGTAGAAATCCATGCGGAAGCGACGGGCAATCTCGGTCGAGTCTTCAGGGCCGAGGAAGTTGGGAGGTGGTGCGGCGGAGGTACGGTCGTTCATGGAGCCCTCGACGAAGCGGGAGTTTGCACGCTGCGTCGAGTTTGCGCGCTTAGCCGTAGGTCGCTGCGCAGATGCAAACGCATTCGTCGGGGGAGGGGCCATGACTGGGTGAGAGTTCAGAGGACCGGGGGGTTGAGGATCGTCGATTTGCATCATGGTTGATAGCGGACGCGATTCGGTTGTGCTCGGGTTGTGAGTTGATCTGGTTCTCTTACTCGAGGTGGAAACAGAACCCCCTCTGCCCTAGCAAACAAGATTGATCGTGGTCTCGCGATGAGAAGGGGGGTTGGAATGCGATCAGATGGTAGGTATTGAGAGGAGGGGGATTGTTGGTGGCAGCAAGGCAGCGAGCGCCGTTGGGTTTTTGTTTACTTGCCCGTGCCGTCGCACCATCCGCACCCACGCGCTCCCGCAACAGCAGCTTTTCAACTTCGGGCTTCTTCCTTGCACGTCTGGGACAGCAGCAGGTTGCGAAGTCGCAGAAAAAGGGATTGGAAAGCCTGGAATTGGGTGAAGAAGGTTTATGAAGGGTGAGGGGAAAAGTGGGAAAAGCCAGGTTGATAGTGTGTGGAAGGTAGGTGCGAGAGGGCGATGCGATGGGCTTGGGGTTGAATGTTGATCTTGTAGTATCGGCACTATTGGAAGGGCAACGCGCGATGGAGTTTGCGGTCGGCCGGGGATCGTTGCCCACAGCGAGGTACGCCGGACGCGAGGCCCAAAAGGTAGCGTCTGCCATTGGATTTGGAGGGGAGAGTGGCCCCCGTTGCTCGGGCAAACAAACGCGCCCACCACTGGCTGCGCTGCTAGACCCAAACGCGACCCTCCCGCGCTCCACTTGGCTTGCACCCGCAACTGGTGCCGCCCTCTTCCGCGTCCCTCACCTTGCACTTGAAAGTTGAACGAATGCTGGGGTCTGGTCCGAGCTTGCACCGCTGAAGCACGTGACGCTTGGACCTTTGCCAGACAACCACACAACCTATGGATACCTTATCTAGGTACCTACCTCACCTTAACGTGAGGTGCCCGCCTTGGGTACTGATAGGTAGATCGAATGAAAATCTACACGCAGACGGGAAACACAATCCTTCCCACACTTCATCCTCACTGGCAAAAGTTTCACATTGGAGATCGAGAGCATCAAGTTTCAAAAGATATTCCCTATTTCCCTAGGCAGGATACCCAACTGTGACTGCTGCAGCATGTACATGCCGCGTGATAAAAATGATACAGTACCCCAAAACCATTTGACAGAGGAAATCAGGCCAGCAGATGATACATTACAACCACGTCAAGTGTGTCCGCGTCTTCATTGCCCTGAGTCGTTTCTTTTTATAATCCAATTTGAATCATGCCGCAAACCATTCCCAATCAGCCATACCATTGTAAAAACACAGAAAGGAAATGAGGAAGGGGAGGCGATGTCAAGAGAACATCGCCAACGTGATGAGGGTTTTTGTGTATGGATTTGGACACACAAAGAAAAGGCGTGTCGAAGACGCCACGTCGAAGTCCGTGATATTTACAGTCGAAGAGTAAAAAAATAAGGAAAAAAAGTTGAAAGATCCTTCCGAATGCCATGGAGTGCCGGAAAACGCCTCGAGTCTAAGTGCTCGCCCGCCCTTGGTGCCGATCATGCTGTATAAGCCAAAGTTCCCGTCCGCATTAGTCGTGGTCAAAACACCGTTATTTGTATGCATCCGCCCTCATCTATTGCTCACTGTAGCTGCCATTCGGCTTGGTCACGGTTGTACCGCCAGCACGCTTGTAAGTCATGCTCTCGGCATCACGAAGGCCGTACATGGGTGCGCGGTGATGAGGCTCGGACGGGCGCTGGCCGTCATACAGAGGGCGCTGGTAGTCCTGGAAGGTGTCCGAGTAGCCACGCTTGGAACCGGCGCGAGCCAGCTCCAAAGGAGGGGGCAGGTTGGGGCTGGCCTCGATAATGTCACTCCCACGCAGCATGTGAGCTGGCAGAGGCGGAGCAGGCAGGCTGGAAAGGGGAGGAAGGACCACAGAAGACCTGCTGTTGTCGGCCAAGGGCGCCATACGCGGGTAAGAGTACGAGTCTCTGCGAGGGTCGGAGTCGCGTCGCATGTAGTCGACGTCTCTGGGGACGTGGGTGGACGGAGACTGGGGCACCATCATGGAACCTCGTCTGTCGTACGAGCCATGGGGAGTCGGAGGCGGGTTGCTCGGGGCATATTGTGAGCTAGGTCTGCTGGAGTAGCTGTGGCTAGGGGCCTGGTGGTACGGCGAAGGCTGGTTGGAGTAGTACGATGCCGTGGGAGAGGGCGGAGGAGGCTGAGCCATGGGCTGAGCGTGCTGGGGAGGGTACGGAGCGCTGGACGACGAATCACCAAATCGGAGGTACGAGTTGGAAGCCGGGGCAGCACCAGCCACGTGAGGTGGAGGAGGAGGAGGCGGCGGCTGGAACGACTCCACGGCAGACGGCCTCCTTTCTGGCACCGCAGGTGCAGGTGCCTGTGGGTACGCGGCGCGATGCTCGCTGCTGTTGCTGTTGCTCACTGATCTGGCGCGGTACGGATCTGCGTTGCTTCGTAGTTCTGGCGTTTGTGTCCTCCTGCTGTTTCTGTACTCGTTTTCTGGGTTGCTGTTCTCGAATTCGTTGCCCGCTGGCTTGCCTTCACGACGTCTCATGCGGACATCACGTCTGATACGGACACGACAGCCCTGTTCTGAGATGGTCTTGCTCAGGTGCGTGCTTTCAGTCAGTCCAGGGAACTTCTTGGCACTGTAAACGCTAAACGGGATCGATTTGACAGGCATTCTCCAGTTGAAGCAAGGCTGGTCGTCTTCGGCGGGATCGCTGTCATGATCCCGGTCTTCGGGGTTCTTAATCTCCTCGTACAGGTGGAAAGCTAATACGTAGCGGCCCTCGTGGCGAACTGAGAGGTCGGGGAAGAGAAAATAACCAGCCTCGGAGGGGCGGTCCAGATAGGCCATGCCGGAGACAGGCATACCGGTCAAGACAGGGGTCTGACTGCTGGTGGCAGCCGGCGTTTGGACGCGACCATGAGCAATCTGACGTGCCGGAGCAAGTTCAGCGAACAGAAAGAAGTTGCCGTTGTAGGCCATGGTAACATCCTTAGCGTCCTCTCTGTTCGGAGTTGGGCCCTTGGCCACCTTCAATTGGACAACTGGAGGCGGGTCGACAGGGCGGCGATCGGCGGCAGCTGGTCGACAAGGTCAGCAGAGAATTCATGAAAACCGGAGAGGTCGAGATCGTCAAGGTGTCTTACACTTGGAACCGGAACCACAAGCGCGTGCGCGCTCGGGTTGTTGCAATACGTTCATTTCGTAGAAGAAATAGCTTCCTCCGCGGGTGCGTCTCTCAACCAGGGATCGAGTTTCCGAGATGTCCTCGATGGACGTCGGTGGTGCGGCGAACATCATCGTGGCGGTTGATGGACTCGAAGTCGGCAAATGGTCGGTGCGTAGTTTGGTCGATGCAGCTAAAGGGAATTGAAGCAATGTTCTCCGATACTGGCAGGACGTTAGGTTCTGTTTTCCAATGGGGGCTGCAGCAGCCCAAGCGTTGGCAACGACGTGATGTGCTGATTTACAAGAACCCGCGCAGCTGGGAAACCCCGTAGAACGAAACGCAGCAGGGCGTCTGGGCTGCTTCCACCAGGCGGCAGGAGACAACTCACTTTATAGATGGCTCCACGGTGCAGTGGCGGCGTTCCTATTTCGATCCTCCACTCTGTACTGATCCAGTCAAGCTCTTGTTGTTGTTGGGGCGATGTGTCGAGTTAAGGAACGGTGTCCAGACGAGGCGAAGGCGACGACTGCGTTGGAGCGGTTGTCGAGGATCGCAGACGACTCGGTGGTGGTTGAGCAAGAGAAGAAGGGGAACGGTGGGTGGGAGATGGGATATGAAGAGGGAGACGGATGGTGAGCGAGTGGGACGACAGGATAGAAAAGAGTGGGAAGCGAAGGAACGCAATTGGCTTTGAGGGGGGTGTCAGTCTCTGATGGCTGGGAACCGGGCTCGACCGGGTATGGGTAGTAGAGTATGTATGGCAGGACTGGGGACATGGGTGGAGGGGATGAAAACTGGGTCCAGTGGATAATGGATGGCCCCAGGACAGTGAGAGCTGCATCGTTCACTGTGGGCTGGGGGGACACACACTGGACATGCTGAGTGAGTGTGTACCATGGAACCTGGGAGGAAGGCCAGGTATCCGTAGGTAGGGGTGGGGTTTGGCTGGGTTTGGCCTGGCCTGGGCTGGCATGACATTGGAGTGAACCCAGACACCCAGAGTCCTCACATTTCCCGTCTCTCTGGCACACTGTGAATCTGGAAAAGTACCCCGATCGCCTCTGGTCTAGTGCAAACTCAAGGGGGGGTGTGGGTGTGAAGAGGAAGAACAGAGCCAGCACCAGAACTCAGAAAGGGACCCAACGCCTCGGACTGGGGCCCAGCTGACTCGGCGGTAATTGGTAGGGACGAAATTTGACAATGATGGCGGCCGCTCCTGGCTCCGGGCTGCGCTGCGCTGCCTTGTTGCTCCTGCTCCTGCTTCTGCTCATGCTGCTGAATGACCTATCGGTAATTGTCTCCCTGTCGTTTTCTCTGGACCAAAAGGTTGTGTGCGACAAACATTCTGGTGTATTGTCGCGGGACGCACAGCAAGGTAGTGAGCGGCCTCCCCGCCCGAAAGCCCATAAACCATAAGTACATACCTGTCCTCGGTGGACTTCGTATCAAGCCAACTCAGCGTATCCGTACCTACGTCGATATCGTTCGGTGGGCGCCGCCTCAAAAACTCCACATACCATTGCGGCGTCACTGGCCATCGCTGTGAGGTGACGGAAGAGGACGACGCGGCAGGAATAGCTCTGCGTCCCCGTGGTGGATGAGGACGTGAATGGCCAGGGGGCAGAGTGCGAGCAAGCACGACTTCGTTAAGCGGCAGGGACCAGCAGCAGAGACTGAGCGTCGGGCAGGGGGCGGGGACACAGGAAAGAGGACCACACCGGTGATACTGTGCAAATGGGTGGGAAGCGAGCCCCCCAGGACATCTGCAAGCATGCTGCGTACAGATGCTGCGGTACTTCCCACTCCTGCTCATCTCTCTGCAATCTGGCGCGTACCCAGTGTCTGCCAAGTCGCGAACCGCGAGAGAGTGAGA